TTGGGCAGAAACTGCCCAACCAGAGGAAGAGAGAGCAAGAGCTCCGGGAGAGAAAGGAGAGAGAGCTGACGAATCAGGAGAAGAGAGAAGGAGAGGATGGCCAATCGGAACAGAGGAAAGGAGGAAAGGAGGAAAGGAGGGAGAGAGTGGCGCGAGAGATCGGCCGGATCCCCTTGGCCCGTTTTTGACCCGGTCGGCATCCATGCCTATTTTCGATGATTTTCACCCGTTTTTCCGGCGAATTGCTTCAAGAAACCTCATGGGAAACACTCTAGGAGCCTTCCTCTATCAATTCCATCTCAAAAATTGAGAGATTTGGCTTTGAAAATGGAGAAAACCGCAATGAGGGGTGCGGCGGCTTTGGCTTTGAATCACCCAATCCCAAAGCAATTTCTTTCAATTTCCACCACCCATAGCTTCCTCTTGAGGCCTAGAACAAAGCCCAAGCATTAGTTGGAGCATCGGAGTTGATTTGAGGACGAATTGGAACTCACCCAATTCTAGGGTTTCGCACGGGTTTGAGCAAATTGGAGCCTTTCCAGGCCAAATTGGCCTTGGCCTCAGGCGTCGATCATCATGACGCCTTGATGTGTTGTGATAGGGAGTTGTTGGGCGAACTCCAGGTGAGTGGGCAATATTTCTGTTTATACCTATATACTATTGATATTTTTCCCAGAAATTGAGTTTAAATGAAAGTACGTTTTAAAATGCCATGCATGCATATTATGAGATATATGAATTGATAATTGATGCATATATATATATATGTGAATTGGTGCTGTGGACGCATAGGTGAGTATCAGGTGAGTTTTATGTTATTCATGTGAATCATTGATGATGTGAATTGTGTTGAGAGCTCATAACCCGCACCCCTGGTGTTAGTGCTTATATTATTCACCGCACCACACGCTCACCTTGGATCCAAGTAAGTGCATGTCGTTCAGACCACTAGAGGTGGTTCCGACTGGTAGGTGACCTTAGATTATGTGCACAAATGATTGATGAGAGAAGCACTAGAGCGTATTATTACACCATTCTTGTCGTACAAACTACTTCAGGTAGTTCCGACTTATGTGCAGAGTAGCGCCGTACAGGTCACCGTGGTGACTCCGGTTGGATTGGATATTGAGCTATAGAATTAACCGTATAGGACCAACTGCAGGGTCTCCCGTTGATTCCTTATTTCACCTGTTATATTGATGCATCCATATTCTGTTTTTGACTTTATGGCATGGCATACTTTCTGGTTTTGATAAAGATTGATGATTTGAGATATTTGAAGGTATATGCTATTATGTTATTTTCTAGGAAAGTATACAGGTTTTACAGCGAGAGGTTAGAAATGTTTTAAATGAAATGTTTTCGAAAACTTTGTTTTACTGACCCACTCAACTTTGTTTTGCGCCCCTCCAGGTTCTAGATAGCAGAGCTTTGGTGGCCACGAGGAATCCAACGGTGTTCTGACAGAATTCACAAAAGTAGGACTCACCCTCGGGTGTTTCATCTTAGTAATTGTATTTTTTTAAAGCTTCCAAACTGTGTAAATGGTTACGTCACTCTCACGTGACGGCCAGCATGCCATCCTTCGGGACGGGGTGTGTCAATCTTAATCTCTAGTATAACCATTCCAACATCACAAGTAACTAGCTTATTATAAAATCCTTTTGCATAAAATCCTTCTCACTTGTCTACTACACAAGATCAAAACAACACCGGAAATTACAAAACTCTGGATCGCATCAAATTCTCGTCGCATTCAATTCTTATGTCTAAGCTTGCATCTAATCCCTTAACTAATTGACAAATTCTTTTGAGAAATTCCTTTTGTAGAATTTACTTGAATACTTCATGTTTCCTTTACTATTAAGAAGTCAAATGAGTAGAGTATACATTGACTTCTCCAATTTTTTTCATTACAGTAATCTAACTTAAAAATGATAGCAGTACTCCCTCTCCAAATGACAAAAAATAAAAAATAAAAAATCACAACTACGTAGTCAATTTATTCTTATTCCTTCCTTGGTAATTGATGACCACTATCTTCTTCCTCAAGTCTACATTTCTTCTCTCGTCCTTTAGTTACTCATGACTGAACCCATTTGACTTGAGAAATCCAATAAGGCTCAGAGTTATATGCATGCATATTGCTGAACTTTGATCCTTTTCATTTTTTGGTCAAACTTAATTTTCTTTCTCAAAAGATCCCCATGTAAATTCATTTGCCAAGATCACATGCAAAAACTGATGAAAAATGGGACTTTTAGGGTTTCTTGGTGTGCTAGGGTTTGTGGCCGCCTGCCTTGGGGTGGTTGCGTGGCGACGGACCGATCTTTTTCCGTTATGTCGTCGGGTCTACCTGTTAGCTAAAGGTTTAGTCTTGCTAAGGTCGGTTAAGCTAATTTGTTTGGATAATGGTTTTCCTCATGTTGATAATTCGAGTGGTCTTAGTCCTAAAAGCTTAGTAGATTTGTTGATTAGAAGTTTTAGGTTAAGTCTGAAAAGGTTGAATCTATTAGACATTTGGGGGATTAGAGTAGTGAGCATGGTATTAATACTCTCAAGTGTTCCACAGGGTGTGCTGGGTTGTTAGGGTTTCATCTTCATCCGCTTGTTGGGCCTCACCCCTTGAGGGCTTGGTGTCGGCTAGTGTATTACGCTAAGTCTTTTAGGTCACTTAATTTTCTTTCCAAGGTTGCATCGCTTCTTGTGTTTTTGTTGTCGGATTTAGGGTTTGTAGGTGGAAGAGCAATCGTTTCATATTCTTTGTTGTGTGTGTGCTTGTAATGATGGCTTGGTTACACGCGTGGATATTGTAGGAGGTGCTTTTAGGTCCGACGGTTGCAATTCCGGGTTACGGTTGAGTGTTTTCGGTTCCCAAGTCTGCTTTGAGTGTTTTTATTGCTGGATGCTCATCACTATCTTAGCTCATCCCATAATTAGACCTATCCCTAGGCGGCGCTTACCCAATGAGATTCCTAGTTTGGTAATTATTGTGATGCTCTCTTTTCATTTTGGACATCAAGAAGTTTTTTGCTAGAGTTATTATCTGTTCTCTACCGTTTGGCTTCCACCCGAGGTTGTCTATTTAAAGTTTGGTGTTGTTGCTTTGATTACTATCTCAACAGTTTCTCAGGCTTTTGCTTTGTTATCTAGTCCTTATCTTTATTTTCTAACCCCATCCTTTTCCCGTTCCCCAACCTGGTGAAGATTCGGTTGTGGTTAAGAATGATTTCGGTACTTTTACCATGGAGAAAGGCGTTACTAAGGTGTCAACCACTTTGACATCTAGCCTTAATGTAGAGCATATGCTCAGTTGTGTTCTCATGGGCAAAATGTTTGGGCGGCCCCTTGAAGCCAGGCTTATCAAGTGCAAGCTCGGGCTCTTATGGGAAAAAAAAAAAACTTTGCTTTTTTTTTTTCTTTTTCCAAACACCTTTTGCTTTTCTTTTGGGATTCTTGCATTGCCTTTTTCTTTTGTGGTATCCGCTTGTGTAAATATTATAAATTGATGATTGAAGTAGTTCATTGTATTATTCATATAGGGTTAAAGATTGTAGCTGTAAAAAATTATTAATATCGGAGTTAAAATAACCGTTAAATCATGATTTTTTGTTTATAGCTGTCGAAAAAGTTTACCCGTTACTTGATATCTGAATGTTTGTTTTTTGCAATTTTTGGCGTATACGATCTCAAAGCATATACAAACAAGTTTGACGGTTGGATCGTTGAAACTAGTTTCATACAATGTGCATCCCATCAAAACAATAGATTCACTAATACTTAGAGTTTATTTATACTTTCATTAAGTATAACATAAGATTTTGTAATATCCACTAGTGTAAATATTTTAAATTGATGATCGAATTAGTTCATTGTATTCATATAGGATCAAGGAGTGTAGCTATAAAACATCATCAAAATCAGAGTTAAAAATACCGTTAAATGGTGATTTTTCGTTTATAACTGTTGAAAATGTTTGTCCCGTTACATAATCTCTGAATGTTTGTTTTTTGCGATTTTTTGAGTATGCGATCTTGAAGCATATACAAACAAGTTTGACGGTTGGATCGTTGAAACTAGTTTCGTATAATGCGTATCCCATCAAAACAATAGATTCACTAACAATTAGAGTTTATTTATACTATCATTAAGTATAACATAATATTTTGTGGTATCCACTAGTGTAAATATTTTAAATTGACGATTGAATTAGTTCATTGTATTCATATTGGATAAAGGAGTGTAGCTGTAAAAAAAGAATCATCAAAATCGGAGATAAAATAACCATTAAATCATGATTTTTCGTTTATAACCGTTGAAAAGTTTTGTCCTGTTACTTGATCTCTGAATGTTTTTTTTATTTTTTATGATTTTTTGCGTATGTGATCTCGAAGCATATACAAATAGGTTTGACGGTTGGATCGTTGAAATTAGTTTCGTAAAATGCGTACCCCATCAAAATGATAGATTTACTAACACTTAGAGTTTATTTATACTTTCATTAAGTATAACATAAGATTTATTGGTATGTAGTGTAAATATTTTAAATTGACGATCAAATTAGTTCATTGTATTCATATAGGATCAAGGAGTGTAGCTGTAAAAAATTATCAAAATCGGAGTTAAAAACCGTTAAGTCGTGATTTTTTGTTTATAGCCGTTGAAAAGTTTTGTCACGTTACTTAATCTCTGAATGTTTGTTTTTTACGATTTTTAGCGTATGCAATCATGAAGTATATACAAAAAAGTTCAAAGGTATATATATTTATTAAGTAAATTTTCAGTAAAATTTATAATATTGTTTTAAAAAAAAAATACCTTGCACCACGGCACAATGTGATCATTGTACAAAAGAACTTTGCCAGAATGTATACCTGCGTCGCGCCAGTTGTGATAATTTTGGCGGTTCAATGGTAAAAAATCGGCGCTTGTTTTAAAAAATTTCGCAAGTATTCCCAAGCTTGTGCTAAAGCCTTCCTCTCGCACTTCTCTCTCACTCGGTCTCTCTCTTCCCGCTGTCAACCCAAACCCAAATCCTCCTCCACTCCAGCCGACTCTCCTCCTCAGCTTAGCTCGCACAAGGCCTTCCCGCCCAATCGCCCATCAGTTTCTCCGACCGCCGGTTGATTTTGTTCATGTAAGTATACGGTCTAATTAGATTGATGGTAATTGCTGCTTATATTTTTTGTTTCTGGATATGATTGCTGTCGTTTTGATTTGATATCAGTTGTTTCGTGCTGGTTTCGCTGTTATGGTTATGAAATTAGGGTTTTTTGGGACTGCGACTGATGTGCGTTGAATGAGATAATTACCTTTAGATTTGATTTTTTTTCATGTGGGTCGGTTTTGTTTTTGATAGCTCAATCTGTGAGTTTCTTACCTGTGGGTTTTGCTTTCCGTTTGGCTTTCGATATAGGGTTTGAATAGCTCAATCTGTGAGTTTCTTGCGTATTTTGATTGATGTTGTGATGTTTGATTTGGGTATGCATCTTTTTGTTGATTGGTTTGTTGGGTCGGTCTTACATTTAGGGTAAGCTGTCATACCAATTCATTCATGGTATCGTTCACTTCCTGCAATGAACTTCAAATTGAATAGAATGAAATATATATCCCAGTTCCGAGGTCCCAATTTTCAATTTCTGATTTGTGGTCCTCCATGGAAGTTGCAAGCCTCCATATTAACTAAAGCCAAATTGAGCCCCAAATTTAAATTTTGGAAACAAAATCAGTTGATAGGGATTTTACCACCTCCAAAAGTAGGGATAAAAACACATAAAAATACTTGCAAGAGAATAAGGTAGTTGTAGTATAAACGGCTCAAGCAAGGTCGTTTCCGCAGGGATTATTTAAAACAATTTATGAAAAACCCTAATCCTAGTTAATTAACTGAAAGTAAAGATTGAAAAAGGTTGATTTTGAATTTAAAAATAATAAAAACAAATTTTAATAAAAGTAATTTAGGGAAAGCAGCTAATAACCCATTAAAAAGGAAACAAATCAAAGAGAAAATATTTTGAGAAACAAATTTGGAAAAAACATTAGGGTTTCACCTTCACCCTAACAATCCTACGTCTTATGAATTACACATGCATATTTTGAAGGTTAGATTTTCCTAAAGTATGCCTTACTTGGAACCCCCAACATAGAACGTATATCCAGTGTTCTAAAAATCGGCCTAGACGACGCCTAGGCGTTAGGCGATGGCCGGCCGCGGGGATTAACTCAAAATCGGGACAGGGATTAGGCGGCCGCTGAGACGGCCTCGGCGGCCTCGGCGGGTGACTGAGTGGCCTAGGCAGTTTAGGAATTTCAGTTTTGTTATGTTTTCAAGAATGCAGATTACCTTTCTAGGTTTCTTCTGGTTCTCGGTTTGGCGAAGAGGAAAGATGAAGACGATGACTTTCTCTCTTCATTTCACACCACGTGACCACGTGACCACTCTACATACTATTCTTATTTATTTATTTTTCTTAGTTTCTCTCCAATCAAATTTGGACACCTAACATCAAATTACTTGCTTTTTGTAGAAAGCCATAGGCTGTCAGTCCTAGCTCATAAAAACTGATAGGGTGTCAGGCTGAATGTCATTAACAATAAGTATTGGTGTAGAGTCCCATCTTTATGTGTCCTATTGTGCCTTTTCCACATCCACATATTTGACACCTTTATTTCTCTTTAAATTCAACATAAATTAATATGATCTCTAAAAAATATTTTGCAAATTATTATGAACCACCCATATTGTCATTAGAATTTTCTCTTTATTATGAAACACCCAACCCACTACGTGGGATTTTTACTTTTATTTTTAAAAAATTAGATATAATCATTTAAAATGTCTTAAGTTATATGGCATATATGCTTAAAGTGTTTTTAAATTTTGAAATTATTAGATAATTTTTATTTTATTTTATCATTCTTTTATTATCTTATCCATGAATTTCATACAAGTATAATTTTTTGTAAGTATCAATATGCATTTATTTACAAGATATACAAGAAATTTACCTAAATTCACCTAAGCCGCCTAGGCGCCCTCTTAGACCTTGTCTAGCCGCCTAGACGCTAGGCGTCAGCTCGCCGCCCGACTAGCGCATAGCGTTTTTAGAACCTTGGGTATATCTAACATGCAACCCGTCCGTGGCGTCCAGATCGAATATGAACATGCAAGACTCATTAAGTTTTGTGAAAACATTTTGAAAAACATATACTCCTAAGATGTGTCGTCCATCCTAAGTAGTTACACATTTAACCACAAGAAGCCTTAATCAATTTTAGGGACAGCCTTCCACCAAAATTGCATCACATTACTTTTTTAAATATCCTAATGGTCGTAAATTACTAAGATAAATGGATAGTTTAAAGCACCATGATTAATAATCCAAAACTATGCATAAATTCATAAGAAAATTAAAAAGAGACTACATATTCTTGCTAAGGATCATGGCCTCACCCTAGCAAAAATGATTAGTTACGCATATTCATAATTAAAATCAACATAATTGTATTAAACTAGAAAATGAAAACACCTGAAAGTATAAGTCTTGAAATCTCTAAGCTTTAGCCAAAATCTTCTTCTCAAATCTTGTGTACGTAGAAGAGAAACCCTAAGTCTGCCAAAAGGCTTATTTATACTACTCTCAATAAAATCCTCCTAGTAAAAGGTCTTAGAATATGACTAGGAAACTAAATAAATTGAAATAAAGTAGGAAACTTAGAAATCTGCATAGCCATGTTTTGGACTCAAATCAGCTCCAAAACTGGCCCAAAATAGATGGATTTAAAGCTTGGACTATTTTGAACACTTCTTCAGAAGACCATAAACCCATCTGAGATCATCTTGAGCTCCAAAAACGCAATTTAAGCCTAGAAAACGTCATTTTCCAACAACGCGCTGCTTCATTCAATTGTCAGAGAATAACCGCTTGGTAGAAAAATCCCAAATTTTGATACGAAGAAACCAAGTGACACACGAATGTCCTCTCATTTGAATCACTCCAAAATTTGTCCGTTTGGTCACATTTTGCTCCAGAGGAAGTTGAATGTCCTATATTGAAAATATAAAGCAAATTATCAAAATTATACAAAAATAATTACCAAATTATACTAAGAATAGGGTTAAATATATAATATAATATTGACTCATCATCGGTTAAAAGTACATTATCCCTAAACCAATCAACTACCTGCTTATAAATCCAAAAGGTCGAAGAAATAACTGTTCTACCATATATATATATACACTTAACAGTAGAATTTGATAATTATTTTGACCGATGATGAGTCATAGAGTGCTAAGAAATAACTGTTCTACCATAGTAATTGAAAAAAACAGCCATAGAGTACATCCCACTAGAGCACATTCAAGAAAGTGTTCAAGAGCCTTTGCAAGTTCCCCATAGTAATTGAAAAACAGCCTGCAATCCAGGAAAAATAAAATCATTCAAACATATTCAATTAAGTCGGAAGACTGAATTCTAATGCCATTTCCAACTCTAGCATTCCTCCTGGGTTTAGAAATGTTGCGACATTAGCTAAGGATGTCATTGATTTTGTTAATCATGTTGGCAACTGTGATAAGGATGGTTTTACTCCAGTGTTATCTTAGTAAAAAAACAACTCTATTTTAGCTGTTTATGGCATTTGTAAAGTTTATCTGCTGTTACTTTCAATTCTAGAGGAACTCTTGCTCCTAATTTTTGGCTATTAACCATCTTTGACCCGTGCAGATCCTTTATTTATTTCTATATCTGCTTAATAGGTTAATGTTCGCTGTATTTTTTATCACATCCGAAATCAATTCATCTTTGTTTATGCAAACGCTTCATCCATTAAGGTAAGAGATTTGGCACAAACCCAAACACAATGGTGTTCTAGGATCCATAAGCCGGCCCGACCCCACTAAGTTAAGGCTTTATTGTTGTTGTTAATGGGACCTTCCTACCTGTTTACTAGGTAGTCTCTATGAAGCAACCACTGCTGGAAAGATGAACTTGGAAAGAACGACTTTTGGTGGAAGCTTTCCTGCACAGGTGAGTTTAGTATTGCTTTTCGTATCATCTCCTACTGCAAAGGGGTCTTTGTTTAAGTTAAATGGGAAGAGAAAATAAGCTTTCGAACCATGAAACTCTAGAGAGTTTTACAGTGCACATTGTTTTAAACCACCACTGACATGATACCCTAATATGCTTGATGAGTCGTCTTTTAGAATTTCCTGCCTTAATATCATGTTCAGTAAGAACTAATTAGTATTCACTTGAATTTTGTGTATAGGTAAGATTCAGAATTTACAAGGAATGTCTCCCCTTGCATGAGAGTGATTTTAAACATGCTATTCTAGATAAGTACCAGAAAGGCTCCAAGAAGTTTAACCCTGTTTGTACCATACTTAGGGCTTCCGTATTTAGATCTTATATAAATACTCGGGAGACTTAAATGTAATTATGTAATAAAGGAAGGGGCAAATATGTAATAAGTGAGAAGCCCTTATTCTACAAAAGGATCTCTCACTCTCTTCATTAAGGAGGAGGCCAATTCTGAGACCATACCCTCACCTTCTCAGAGCTCTCATCCTCACGGAGAAGCTCTCTCTATCCTCTTCAGGATCTCATAGAAATACAATATCAATGTGGACGTAGCCCAAACATTGGGGTAAACCACGATACATCTTGTGTTATTTACTTTCTTACAGATTTACGGTTGGATTTACGTTGTTCCAAGACTTCTCTGGTTTTGTACATCAACATTTGGCGCCGTCTGTGGGAAACGATACAAAACGTTGTGTCGGTTCTCTTTCATTTTTTCACCTCCACCGTGAATCTGCAAAATCACAAAAAACCCAGAAACAGAAAAGATCAAAATCTCAAACACTCATCAGCTCTCTCTCTCTTTACTTTTTGGCAGAAATTCAGAGAACTGAAGTATGAGAAACAAACCCATTAAATCTTTCAAGACACTCCCTCTCCCATAAGATCATCGCCAAAACCCCATTATTCAACCTCAAACTCTACGCTGTTATCGCCATCCTAGTCCTTTGCCTCATCGCAGCCGCCCTTCTCATCTTCCTCTGCCTTTGCATAACTCGAGTCTCCCGAAAACGCAAGATGCGGGTGAAGCACAGCTCCGGCTCAATCCCCCTATTCTCCAAGAAGATCGCCGAGATCAAGGAACCGAGTCCACGCGCCGCTGACAATGGCGAGAGAAAATGTTGCTGAAGGAGTAAAAGTTGAAGGTCCTCTTCTTGTCGGGAAAATGGAAGAATATAACTGTTAGTAGCACGGGTAGGCCTGACAAACAGATCGTGTCTGTCGTGTTTGTGTCGTTTTCGTGTAACACCTGTTATCTTAACGGGTAGTGTCGTGTCACACATGTTATCTTAACGGGTCTTTAACAGGTCGGGTCACTTTACCCAACGGATAAAGTGACCCAACCCGTTATGACCTATTAAGAAAAATATATTTTTTTTTCTTAAATTTGCACATACCATACATTACCACATAAATATTACTTCAAAACATTAAAACATATTTGTCATTTAAGTACTACATCTACACTCGAAAATAAGAGCCTAATAAAAAAACATCCATACACTAGTCTATCACAAAATATTAAATGTGCAAGGATATGCAAAATGAAAGAGTTTTTGTTTTCAAGGTTGTGAAGCCTTTCTCAAAAGTTTAAACCTTGCCAATGGAACTCGAAGTTTGCATGTTATTTCTTTTACAAGACTGGCACTCTGTGGCAGAGAAGAGAAGAGCTGAAACTGAAAGTACATAGGAGCGGCACTCTGTGGCAGAGAAGAGAAGAGTTGAAATTGAAAGTTCACAGGAGAGGGCCGAGAGAAGCACGGGTCTGCGACAGAGAAGAGAAAAGCTGAAGGATAGTCTCTAAAGTCCAACCTAAATACCTAATGCATAATGGACAGCTGAGATTAAATCTCAGCCAATCTAATGGCCACCAATTTTTAAAATTTAATTTAATATATAGATTCACTAACGCTTAATAAGATTTTGTAGTATCCACTTGTAAATATTTTAAATTGACGATCGAATTCATTCATTTTATTCGTATAGGGTCAACAAGTGTAGTTGTAAAAAATCATCAAAATCGGAGTTAAAATAATCGTTAAATCGTGATTTTTTGTTTTATAACCGTTGAAAAGTTTTGTCTCATTACTTGATTTCTGAATGTTTGTTTTTTGTGATTTTGGCGTATGCGATCTTGAAGCATATACAAACAAGATTGACGGTTGGATCGTTGAAATTAGTTTCATAGAATTCGTATCCCATCAAAATAATAGATTCACTAACACTTAGAGTTTATTTATACTTTCATTAAGTATAACATAAGATTTTGTGGTATCCACTTGTGTAAATATTTTAAATTGACGATCGAATTCATTCATTGTATTCGTGTAGGGTCAACAAGTGTAGTTGTAAAAAATCATCAAAATTTGGGTTAAAATAACTGTTAAATTGTGATTTTTTGTTTTATAACTGTCGAAAAGTTTTGTCTCATTACTTGATTTCTGAATGTTTGTTTTTTGTGATTTTTGGCTTATGCGATCTCGAAGCATATACAAACAAGTTTGATGGTTGGATCGTTGAAATTAGTTTCATAGAATTTGTATCCCATCAAAACGATAGATTCACTAACACTTAGTTTATTTATACTTTCATTAAGTATAACATAAGATTTTGTGGTATCCACTTGTGTAAATATTTTAAATTGACGATCAAATTCATTCATTGTATTCGTATAGGGTCAAGGAGTGTAGTTGTAAAAAATCATCAAAATCGGAGTTAAAATAACCGTTAAATCGTGATTTTTTTGTTTTATAACCATCGAAAAGTTTTGTCTCATTACTTGATCTCTAAATGTTTGTTTTTTGTGATTTTTGGCGTATGCGATCTCGAAGCATATACAAACAAGTTTGATGGTTTGATCGTTGAAATTAGTTTCATAGATTTCATATCCCATCGCAACGATAGATTCACTAACACTTAGAGTTTATTTATACTTTTATTAAGTATAACATAAGATTTTGTGGTATCCACTTGTGTAAATATTTTAAATTGACGATCAAATTCATTCATTGTATTTGTATAGGGTCATGAGTGTAGTTGTAAAAAATCATCAAAATCGGAGTTAAAATAACCATTAAATCGTGATTTTTTGTTTTATAACTGTCGAAAAGTTTTTGTCTCATTACTTGATCTCTGAATGTTTGTTTGTTGTGATTTTTGGCGTATGCGATCTCAAAGCCTATACAAACAAGTTTGACGGTTTGATCGTTGAAATTAGTTTCATAGAATTCGTATCCCATCAAAACGATAGATTCGCTAACACTTAGAGTTTATTTATACTTTCATTAAGTATAACATAAGATTTTGTGGTATCCACTTGTGTAAATATTTTAAATTGATGATCGAATTCATTCATTGTATTTGTATAGGGTCAACAAGTGTACTTTAAAAAAATCATTAAAATCGAAGTTAAAATAACCGTTAAATCGTGATTTTTTGTTTTATAACCGTTGAAAAGTTTTGTCTCATTACTTGATCTTTGAATGTTTGTTTTTTGTGATTTTTGGCATATATGATCTTGAAGCATATATAAACAAGATTGATGGTTGGATCGTTAAAATTAGTTTCATAGAATTCGTATCCCATCAAAATGATAGATTCACTAACACTTAGAGTTTATTTATACTTTCATTAAGTATAACATAAGATTTTGTGGTATCCACTTGTGTAAATATTTTAAATTGCCGATCGAATTCATTCATTGTATTTGTATATGGTTAACAAGTGTAGTTGTAAAAAATCATCAAAATCGGAGTTAAAATAACACGTTAAATCGTGATTTTTTGTTTTATAACCGTCGAAAAGTTTTGTCTCATTACTTGATCTTTGAATGTTTTTTTTTGTGATTTTTGGCGTATGCGATCTCGAAGCATATACAAACTATCTTGACGGTTGGATCATAGAAATTAGTTTCGTGTATCCCATCAAGTTCAATGGTGTGCATATATATATATATTTATATATTTATTATGTAGATTTAAATCTATTTATTTTGTACGTATAATTATTATAGTTTTTAGGGGTATAAAATTTAATTTAAAATTTAATATATATATATATTTATAATTATTATAGTTAATTTAATATATATATATATATAATTATTATAGTTTTAAACTTTTTAGGGGTATAAAATTGTTAAATTAATATATATAATTATTATAGTATTTTTTAAGGTTATAAAATTATTAAATTAATATTCTGCTTATCGTGTATCGTGTTACCCACGTGTATACCCGAACTAACCCATTATCTTAACATGCGCTTATCGGGTTACTCGATAATACCCGATTTATTATCGTGTTGACCCGAACACCTGTTAATTTCGAGTCGTGTCGTGTCGGGTTATCGGGTCGTGTTAGGAATTGCCAGGCCTAAGCACGGGGCCTCGGGAAAGTTTAAGGTGAAAAGCAAGAACAAACCCATATGTTGTTGCTTCAGTATCTGTTTCCCAGACTTCTTCTGCTGCTCCAGTCAGACGTGATTCACCAGCAGAAGCAGCAACCCCGTTAGACTACAATTCCAGCCTTTCCACTTTTACACAGGCTTACATGCACATTTAGCAGCCAACCATGCAGCTCTACCTCCCTCTCCAACCTCTGCCACTGTCAGCTCAATAGGTATGAACTACTGGAAGTCAAAATCTGAATTTGATCAAGGAAGTTACTTGCAAAATTGAGGAAGTAGTGGAGAAAAGAACTGAGAGAGTTTGGTGCTGTTAGGGGCTCAGCTCACGGGTAGACTCTAAGAGGAGCCACATTTGTTCAAGAAGGGGCCAACTCTGGTAGATTCAGGGATCCAATCCCGTTGCCTTGTATGTTTGGGCAAGAGTAGTTGCCAAGTTGTTCATTCAAGAACGAAATTGATGAATGCTTTGATGGAAAAAAAGAAGCCTCATGGGAGGCAAATAGTTGTGGCTATCATGGCAATGATGAACTACTTTATCGGGGACATGGAAAAGGAGAAGTGTTTGGCCTAACCTACACCTCTGGGGATATAGTTGGAGGTGGTATCAATCATGATTCACAAGAATTCTTTTTCACCAAAAATAGAGCCTTGAGGGGTAGACTCGTGGACCATGTAGCAGAAAAAGAAAAGCAGAAAGCAATTGTTTGTGGAGAGATAGAGAGAGATGCAACATAAAAGAGAAAAGAAGAAAGCAAAAGCAAAGAAAAAAGTCGAGTGGGAAACAAAAGCAGAAAGTAAAAGCAAGGAATAAAGGGAGCAGACATAATTGCGGTGGTGATGGCATGCACAAAACGGAATTATGGGCGTGACCCATCGAGCAGAGGGTCAGATTTATTTTTGAATGATGTAAATTATTTTTCGTATCTTTCGGAGACATCTGTATAAACCCCATAAGAGGGTAATAATAATAATAATAATAATAATAAAACTGCAAGCCCAAAATAATGGGCTGGAATGTTATATGGAAGGCGAATGCCCATATGCCCAAAAGAGCCAAGCC